TATCTAACTTTTACTGAACCACTGGTAACATCCACTGATAAATTTTTGAGAATAATTTTGGATTTTGCATTAATAAAACTTCTTTAATTTACTTTTTGGAGGTGGACCACATTCTGTATTTCAGATATATTAATCTTCTCAATTTCATCCGTAAACATAAGTGGTTAAACAGCTCTTTGTTCCATGAACCTATTTTCAGTCTACTATAGGAAAAAGGGTCAAGATGTTTACTCTGAGTATATTAGCTCCTAACTTTTATGCCTCAATCCAAATTTTATATCAAGCTACAAACAAAAATATTAGTTTGTCTTCAGATCTCATAATATATAAATTAAGCAGTTCTTAAGATTTTTTTGTAGAAGGCAAATGAAACCTGCACTTGAAGGATTTTTTTTCAAATCAAGTTAACTCCAAGTACACAAAGATATATTTTGCCTCATTGTTTTCATGAACCAAAGTGAGGAAACAATCTCAAAGTTGATTATTAGGATACAGGTTAAACAAATTACATAAAGTGGGCCACAATGCAGCCACTTAAAAGAATGAGGTCGTTGAATGTATACTGACATGGAATATGTTCATGATCTACTGTTAAGAGAAAAATATCAAGTACCAAACAATAAACACAGTGTGTTCCCATTAGAAAAAAAAGGTATTGTACTGCAAATGCATCAAACGATGTCAGAAAGACTTCACCCAAACTGGTACAGTCGTTCCCTCTGGGTGGTGGGATTGCGTCCTGGGATGGCTGAAAGGATGAGGGTGGGGAACACCCCCTTTGCATATTTGATATACTTTATTATGTGTCAAATTTTTCTCATATACATTTGCCTTTAAGAAATAAACCTAAGAAGAACACAAAAGAATACAATCTAATGTCCACTTTGTTCTATAAGAATCAAGAGGAGGAAATGAATGATAGCCATACAGAGATGTAGAAGATTTTTGTTTCAAGTGTGTACCATTGAAATTTGGAGTTCCATAGGGAGAAGAATAATAATGAAATCACACATAGAGATCAGAATATATAAACATACACTTTCGAATCATCCTTGCTCCTGTTCTTACCAGCTCAAGGAGCAACTCTAGACTTCTGCAAAGCCTGTTTCCACCTAATAGTTTCTGTGGGCCCTGGGGATATCTTGCAGCTCCATCTCAGTCTGGTGTCGTCCTGCATGTTGGACACCACAGTTTCCCTACGTGGACTGCTGTCGCTGTCCTGGGCGTGGTGGATTTGGCAGGGATGTTAGAACTCTGCTGTTGCACTGCATGCTCTGGTCTCTCTCAGTTCAGCTTGAGGACACAGAGCGAGACACAGACATTAGAAGAATGAACAGAGGGCATTTCTGGGAATGGTAAAGAGACCGGCTTAATCTACACAAGGAATTTGTGTTGGAGAGGTTTGGCAGGAGATTTGAAAGAAGTATTTTTGTTATACAAGATATATAGACACAGTCACAATATGATGAAATAGAGGTGAATCAGTAGGGTTCAAAGCAGAGCATAGAAAGTACTCTAAGTATTTTAGGCAGAAAGGAATTTAACGAGATATTAGGTGATGTGGGGTCAGTGAGCCGAGGAGTTGAAAGAAAGATTTCTTGGACTCTCAAGGTCTGGCAGTAGTGCTCTGTTATTTAGAGAATAGCATGGGGACAGGACCCACAGGCAGGAGGAGCTGCTGCCAACATGGGTTGAGGGTAGGGCTAAATTTAAGGCATAGTTATGTGAGTTATCTCTTTACAAGACAAAGGAAAGAATATGTAAAAATAGTTGTTAAAATGGTATCAGTGACAGTGGGGTCTGGTTATTGGGTGGTCTTATAACTTTTAGATAAGAATCAAACCGGATTAAGTAAATGGCAGAAGCCACCACCGTAAATATTATCTTCAGCTAAAGACAAAGGAGGATGTTGGGGCAGGGGGTGGGGTCAGTTACATGAGGTTACCAGACAGTAAAGAACTGAAGCCCTTGCCTTCCCCATTAAGAGTTTCTAGAGATAAGGTCATCCCCCCTTCCTCCTGGTGCAGAGAGGGAGACACCCCCCACAGATAGAGACTTCCTTCACAAATGCAAATGTCTGTCATCAAAGGGCAAGCAAATTCCACTCCTCAGATCCTCCTTCTCATCTGCAGTTTTTTAAAAGTAACCAGCCTAATATAATCCTCATCATTAGGTACTTACACAATCGTTGGAAGGGCTGGAAGAACAGGTTCTGGGCCAGACTTTGTGGACTTGTTCCCAGAGTAATACAGAGCTGACCCTTCAGGAGAGCTGCTATCCCCAAAGCAGCCCGTACTCTTTGCTGAGACGACTGCCTCTTGCGCTGGAGAAGAGCAGCTGAGGCTGTGACCCAGGTCCCAGGAGTTAGACTAGGAAGTCTCTCTGCGTTTTCATACCCATGAAAGAGGAGCACGGACACCAAGTGCTGCTGCAGGAAAGTCTCACATTTCCTTTTTTTTTTTTCTTAAAGATTGGCCCTGAGCTGACATCTGTTGCCCATCTTCCTCTTGTTTTTTTCTTCTCCCCAAAGCCCCCCAGTACATAGTTGCAGATTCTAGTTGTGGGTCCTTCTAGTTCTGGCATGTGGGACGCCGCCGCAGCATGGCCTGATGAGCAGTGCCATGTCCGTGCCCAGGATCCGAACCAGCGAAACCCTGGGCTGCTGCCGAAGCAGAGCATGTGAACTTAACCTGTTGGCCGTGGGGCCGGCCCCAAGTCTCACATTTCTAAATTACCAGCAGCAAGAGCCATGAGTGGTCGGGAAATGGTGTTCTCTTCACTCGGCCTTCCAGATCTCTCTCAAGGACTGGCAGTGTATAATTTGCATCCAGCATTCTAGCTGCAAGAGTGTTGGGGGGATTTAGATTACAGCTTTCCAAACCCTCCACACTGAAGAAGAGCGGAATGGAGGTTGAGAATCAAAATATCCACCACCTTTAGGGATGCTCCAAGCAGGAAAAAAATCACTAATAATATGACCATTCAGATAAAATAGCTATTTATATTCTGTCACATATCTATTACTTTTCCATGTATGTTATTCTGTCTGTCTGTCTGTCTATCTATCTCATCTATTCAGTTGGAAGTAATTATTTTTCTAGCTTATTCAACAGGCCTTCCTACCCTTTTGCAGGTAAAAACAGTTTCCCTTTTTCTTTTAGGAAACTTTACCTCAATCCGCATTCATGTTTTCCTGGACAGCAAACCTGATCCCCTCCAACCCCAGCACCCAAACGTCCTATTTATAGGCTATATGCACCAAAAAGTTCCTTTTTGTTCTAGTCATTATGGACTTCAGTTTTTGTCAGTGGTATCCGACAAGTCTTGGTGAATCTATCTATCTATCTATCTATCTATCTATCTATTTATCTATCTATATATATATTCATTCACTTTATATATACATATAAAATGGATCATAGACTAGGACATATTTGTAACTTGCCATTTTCATAGATCAGTATGGAAAAAGAGAGAGAGAGAGAAAGGCTTATTATAAGAAATTGGTTCACACCATTACGGAAGCTGAGAAGTTCCAGGATCTGTGGTCTGCAAGCTGCAGACCCTGGAAAGTCAGTGGTATAATTCAATCCATCTGAAGGCCTAAGAACCAGGAGGGTGATGCTTTAAATCCCAGTCAAGGGGCAGGGAAGAGGAGATGAGATGCTCCAGATCATGCAGGCAGGAAGCCGAAAGTGGTGACTCCCTCCTTCCTCCACCTGTCTTCCATTCAGGCCCTGACCCATTGGATGACGCCACCCACATCGGGGAGGCCAGTTTCCTTGACTGAGTCCTAGATTTAGAAGCTAATCTCATCTGAAAACACTCTCACAGACACACCCAGAAATATTTTCGAGACATTTCTCTGAGTTAATTGGACTGAGCAAAACCTAGAAATTCAAAGTAATAAGAATTGCTTTATGAAGGTTGCCAGCGTTAAGATTCAGCCGCACAAGTACTACGTTCTGTCCTACTTCTCTTGATTTGCTTTTCCCCACTAGAGAGCATTTCTCAGTGGTCACTTCTTATGTTGTGGGGGCAACTCTTTATCATCAGCCTTGTACCCCATCCATTTCTGTGCCTCTCACAGGACAAAATTCACTCCTCTTCTTTGTGGTTCATCCCTCTTTCCTGCTTCCTCGTGTTTGGCCTTTTCAGATAGCCTGAAGTATAACTGGCTTTACGGGAAACACCAATACGTTTGAAACAGTTAATTAGGAGATGTCAAATATAAGGGCTTTAGGGTCAGACAAACTTGGGTTTGAAGACCAGCTCCATCTCCTACCAGTTGCATAGTCCTGGGAAAACTGCTTTGAGGCTCAGGTTCCTTATTTGTAAGATAGAGTTTTTGTAACCATTAACGATAATGCATAAAAGCGAGGTGTTTAGCATACAAAAGGTTAACATTCAAAGGACAAATTATCAATATTCATTTTATGCAGTCTGTTGAATAAAACATTAATGGAAGCTTTTCCTCTACATTATTACATTATCACTATTGTCATCCTTATCTATCTTAAAAAAAAACAATTGCTACTAACAGTGCTGTACTTTTTTTTAGCATAAAAATGTATACCATGTACTTATTTGATATGAAATAAGGCTAATGACTCAGGTTCAAGATTGTTTTCTGGATCAGATGATACCAAGAATGTCAAACTTTTGTCAAACTTCACAAAGAAGTTGCTGTAGTGTGGGGATTATTTCAGCCCAACCTCCTCCCTTCACACAGGCAATTGCGCAGTGTGTTATATGGGCACGGGTGTTGACTAAGGGCTTTCTGCACTGTGGTGAATTCTGTTTTAGGTGTCTATCCTAAAACCTTCTATTTTAACAGATATCCCAGCAAGTCCACAGCATTTTCTGTGGTGCAGTCAGAGCAGTTTTCAGCTGAATTCCTCTTTCTTCTTTAACATTTATCACCATGGGCTCCTCAGGGTGGCACGGCCCATGTGAGCAAGGTTGACATTTGCCTTGAGCTCGTTTCTCTCCACATGCAGCATCCACCTTATCATGTGCTGTGCTGCGCTCTAGGATCCTGCAGAGAAGAGCTCTGGCCTGATTCATCTCCTTCGTGTGGATTCCCCAGCTCTGCTGCTGCTGCCGTCACGCCTGCCTTCTACTGCAGCACAGGTGAAAGGGAACAAGAGCAGAGGTGTTGGTTGTAGTAGCTGAAGATGGTTTCTCATGGGACAGTAACCAAAGGGGTCCCCCTACAAACAGGAGATCCCAATTTTAGACTGCAGGCTACAATTTATACAAGTAGTAATACTGAATATCCCCTTTTGAATAAAACTCGGATTCTGTTTCCAAGCTTTTGAATCTTTCTGGTTAATTTTTGAGAAAAGGTGGAAAGAACGAGGATAGCAGCCACCCTGCCCTGCCTTTGTCTACCTCTGTTCGCTAGAGTGGTAGACATTTTTGGTTGCAAATCCAAATGCATCTCTTCATTTCTTGTTAACAGGATTTCAAATGGGCTTGGGTGGTAGGGTGCCTGGTCCCATGACTTTTTTTTTTTTTTAAGATTTTATTTTTTTCCCTTTCTCCCCAAAGCTCCTCCGGTACATAGCTGCACACTCTTCACTGTAGGTCCTTCCAGTTGCAGCACGCGGGACGCCACCCCAGCGTGGCCCGATGAGCAGTGCCATGTCTGCGCCCAGGACCTGAACCAACGAAACACTGCGCCGCCGGCAGCGGAGCGTGCCAACCCAACCACTCGGCCACAGGGCCAGCCCCTGGTCCCATGATTTTTATGGGGTTGGGAGTTGAGGGCAATGAGATGTAGGCAAGTCTGCGGGGAGTAAACTGGGGATAATTTCTCTTCCTGGTAAAAGAGAGGCATGAAAGCAGAAACCCGTTTGTGCATGTCCCCTTTCTGCTTGGAATGCTGTTGTGCCCCCGGCTGTGGCAGCGACCTCATAGCATTCTGGTGTTCGTGGCCAACACAGTAACGGCAGAGAAATGCTGGGAGGAGTCTGGATCTTTGATCACAGTGCTGCATGGCTGCTCCAGTCCTGGCACCTCCCACCTGTAGACTTCTGATTTGGTGAGATGGTAAGTGCCTATGTGGTCTAAACTGGTTTTAATTGGAGATCTTGTTCTTTCAGGGGCAGGCTTTCTCACTGACAAACATGATACTTGATACCCTTTTTGATTTTGGGTAGGCTGAGGCATCATTTTGATGGAGTTGGGCCAGGATATCGTGGGATAGAACAGGGTCAGGAGGGGTGGCATCTGAAGCATCCAGATGAGGAGAAGGTCTCTCTCTGCATGAGTGCAAGTTAATTTCCAGGAAGCTTAGCAATTTAAAGGCAAGGAAAGCCATCACGTCCAAGTACGCCTGAGGCTGAGAATAAAAGATAAGACACAAAAGATTGGAAGTCCCCAGATGGGAAAACAGAAGCAAGAATATGGGTTAAGTGAGAGAATTAAGTGCATTTCCAGGAAAAGATAGGGTGCCCAGGGCTGGTAGCTTTTGGAGGCTTCCCTGCCCTCTACGGAGTGTGTGATCCTGGCTTAAATGCACAACTTCAGAGAGATAAATGAGTCCTTTTTCTAACATCCTGGCATCTTTTCAGTTCCCCTTTCCCTAAGCTCTGAATTGCAGAATGCATTTTGTGTTAAGAAGCAGATTTGTAGGCCTCTGAATGAAAAGCTCTGCTGTGTGATTTTCTACAGAATAGCTCCTAGTCTAAAGTCACCAGCCAAAGCAACATTCTGTTCAGAAAGTGGTAAAAATATGATTAGGGAATGTTCATATACTGTGCTTCATATAGTCAAGTTTAGAAGCCTTTGCTGAGAGCCTTTTAGGAGCTGGGCCCCCTGGACCAGTTACCATCTTTCAGGAATAAACATATTGTACAGAAACCTTATAAAATCCACACAAAAATGTAGCAAAGCGTACACTTTCTTTTTCTGTCAAGCTAGCTTTTCTCTTTAAAAGCAATCTTGATCTATCAGAATCAGTAGGATCTGTTTCTCTAATACATCATGAAATACCTATCTGTGATGTTTCTCTTCCAGCATGTAGACATCAGAATGGGTTGGTCACCCTCTCTATAGGAGAGGACAAGAACATTCACTTGGAAACAAATTATATATATATTTCAAATCCATTTGTCATAGTTTTCTGAAATTTCTGAATTTCTGCTTTAGCTATTGTATCAGTCAGGATTAAGTTCAGGCAACAGTAATAACTCTAATTTGAGCAGAAAATTTATTGAAAGGTTATTGAACAGCTCTCAAAATCTCTGAAAAGGGGACAAAACCAAGTTAGAAACTATGTGGCCGAGAACAATGTCCCAAATGACACTGAGACACCACTGCACGCCCTGGTCATAGGCACCACTGTATACTACGTAGACACCATTAACACTGGTCCAGGGCACTATCTTTGGATACATGATGTAGCTAACCACTGGTTTAATTTTACTACTGATACCACTCTCTGCAGAATAGATTCTATGCGGTTACTGGTTTTTGTGTTAGTAACATACAATTCAAAGTCTAGGATGGGCACATGCAATTGGAGGACATTGGATTATATCTGTGAGCCTCAATTGCAAGAAAGGATAGAAAAACGAGAATTTGGAATTTTCTGTTTCTATGGTAGGAAATGATATTTGTCTCATTAGGCAGGGATTTCCTAAACCATGGTTAAAGGAAGCGTTTGGTCATGTCTGTAGACAATTTTTTATTGTTACGCCTTGGCTGGTGTGTGGGGTCACTACTGACGTCTAGTGGATAGAGGCCAGGGATGCTGCTAAACACTCTACAATGCTCATAACATGTCATGACAACAGAGAATTATCTGGTCTAAAATATCAGTAGTGTCGTTGTTGAGAAACACTGCCCTTAATAAAAAAGGGTTTCAGATACACATGGCCAAATGAATGACAAATATTCACAGTCTTTGGTTTGCAACTCAGAAGTGTGTTTGCAAACTGAGTGAAATTCAAAACTGGCCCCTGTACGCAGAGGGCAAGGAAAGAAGGAAAAAAGAGACAGATGACTCCAGAATGGTAGGTGGCTATTTTAACAAGCAAGGGAACTTACATAGAAGGATTGTCTTGGGCAGCCATAAGATGAGTAGATCTCCACACTCAGCCACCAGAATCTTAACATTTATAAAGAGGCCTTAATGGAGTTCAGTCACATACATCGTCCAGATGGTCTGAACAGCACATTGCCCTCTCAAGGCTGTGTCCTTGAAATGACTCCCACTCTGGAAACGGTGGGCACAATGTCCATTCCAAGGACAGTGGAGTAGGGGAGGAGCCTCTGATTGCCCAGGTCCAGCTGATGGGTCAACCAGTGGTCACGTCCTCTAAAAGATCTCCTCCAACAGCAGTGGCCAAAGACTTTTTTCCTTTCTTCTTTATTAGGTTTGTTTTTACAGTTTCCATCCTTTGTTTCAATTATACTTTTCTGTATTTTGTGAGAAAAGACATATGTGAAGAAGATGTAATGAATTCAGTATCAATGAGGAAACATGCTAAGAGAGGTCACCAGCATGCCCAAGATAACAAAGATAGTAAGTGACAACTGAAACCCATGACAGATTTCAAAGCTCATGCTCTTTCCCCTCTGCCATGTCTTTTCTTCTGTAGTCATCTGGGACCACAGACAAGACATTTGTGATTATTTTTACGATTTTGTAGAAAGTCTAGATATAACACACAACAACTGGGAATGAGTCGTCTCTCCTAATTTCATTGACCTCCTGTAACCAGTTGAGCTGATAGTGTACCCTCAACCTGCATTCCACTCCTCCAGATTGCTCAGGCATCTTTCAATCCACTTACCAAAGACCTCAAGCCACATGGAACTGACAGTAATATATGTTGAAGTGAATAGTTTCTAACTGTCTCCTTAGGTTAGGGCCCAGAAAGGGGAAGGATGCTAAAGCAGTAATGGCATTCCTAAATGGGGGTGTAGGGGTATTATCCTCTCCTTTTATTCCACTATTATGCTGCATCCACTCTGCACTGGGCCCCAAGCTAGCACTATTTTCTGCTGAGCACACCACTGGGGGGTAGGGGATGTTCTCCTTTGCTCTGGAGAAATCCATAGTAGGCTGGGGCAAGCACTTGCATCAGTCACGGTTGAAAGGTCCTGAACAGGGATTCAGATCTAGTGACATCAGACGTGCCTGCAGCAGCAACCCGAGGATCCTTTTGGAATCCCTTTTCTCATGTCATCTGCGCCAGTCAGGCTCTGGCTTTGACTTTAGCCATGCTGTCCACTGAGCATAAAATTTTGTTTGGAGCAACCAACTTCAGGCGGCAGAAGCAATTTTAGAATCCCCCGCCTCCAGGGGACATATCTGAACTCTGGCTACAGAGACAGAGAGAGAGAGAGAACACAGTCTTTGGACAAGAGTAAGCACTTGGATTTGTGCTCATATCGGGGGAGGGCATCAGTGGGCTAGAGACACTGGCCTGTTTGATATGCTGAGAATGTGTGAATGCAAAGGTTGTGTTTCAGGAAATTTATTGGAGACTGTTATTTACATCCCAAATTATACAGCAGATTATTTCAGTTCTCATATGTTAATGCACTTAATTATCAAAAATTCCTATGAGGAAGATAGTGTGTTATTCTGCTGTCCAGTTTACAGGATATGTGGCAGAGGACTGGAGATGGAAGTAATATAGCATTATTACCTAGTCAGCGGTGATTTGTACCGAGGTCTGTAAGACTTCAAATCCTGGGCTGTTCAGTACCACACTTATGCTGCCAATCAGTCCTCGTTTTTCTTCTTAGGGGTGAGAGTACCACAATGTTGTTTGCTGTCTTTCCACGCTTTGTCATTCCACCTACGCATTTTGGAAATGATTAACACTGGGTTTCACAGCTTATTCACTGGACAACTACATGGGGGCACTCTTGAAACTCTGGGGAAGGACCTAAAATTAATAAATTAATGGAGGAAATCCAGCCTTCTGCTTCCCCTCCTCACTCCCACCAAAACCCATGTTTTCTTTCAAGTGAGGATCATGACCTTTCAAAGGATCTTGAAATCAATTTAGTGATCCATAACTGGCCTTAAAAAAAAGGGTTGGCTAAAACACAAGATACGAGAACATATCCAGTAAGGCTAATATTATGTGAAAATTGGTTCCATTTTAGTGATATATAATGAGGATGAGTGTAAATATAAAATGTATGTCTTACTGTGGACCACAGGGTCACAAAACCACCACATGGCTTGTAAGCTACTGTGAGACCCACTCTAGAACAGCACAAGTCACCATTATCTGGGCTGACAAGGACGGGATGTATGGAAGAGGAGTAGTTATCTTAGAAAAATAGACTGCAGAGAAGAAGCTTTGTCATGGAGTCCAATACTGCAAAAGTGCAGTGGTTGGGAAAAATAAAGAAAATACACACACACACTCTCTCTCTCTCTCTCCCTCTCCCCCTCCCCTTCTTGGCTAGTTCTTCCTGTCTTTTGTCAGCAGCTTCCCAGGACTTGGAGGAAGAGCTACATAATTTGAGGAACCCAGAATTTGTTCAGCATCTACAGCGTGCCAGTTTCTTTACATATATCAATCAACTGATAATTACTATAAGCCAATGGGGTGAGTAGAATTGCCTGACTTTTCAGATAAAAACCTGAGTCCCTGTGGTGACTGGTTTTCATCTACATGGTAAATTGTCATTATTCCCATTCTACTGGTGACAGGCCTCCCCAGTCTGGAAACAGGAGTGTACCTCCTTGGTCACAGTGATTGAGTGATTGGATGGGAAGGGAGGGGAGGTGGTCCACCTTGGGGCAATTGGAGTTACTCCCCTGGGTTTTGTGCTGGAGTTGGCAGTGAAACTTTTCCTTTATCTTTGACCATGACTGCTATGGGTATAATCGCAGAGCTGAGGCCAGTCCTGAGGGAACACAGGAAAACGATGTAAGGAGAAGAGAAAAGCAAGTTCTGCTGGTACTGAGTCCTGTGTTCCAATCCTTGAGGTCCCTTGGCTGGCCTGGTTCTAGATTTTGTGAAGCATCTAGTATCTTTCCAACCAAGCCTTAAATCCTTATGCTAGTAAAGACCTGAGCTTTTGTCACTTAAGAGCCCTAATGAGGAATATGCAGCTACTGTGTTCACACCTTGGGTTTGAGCCAGGTCTGCTTGACTGTTTAAAGACTTTGCATGGGAATAGTTCATAGTATTTCACATGTATATTTATATGGAAGTATTTTTTGGCTACCAGGGTTGGTTCCTGGATTGCTATCTTTTCAAATCTCTTATTGTCAGTCCGTATCCTGTTTTAGACAATGAAGTGAATAACGTAATTGTTCCCTTTAAAACACTAGAGAGAAAGAGGCATTTGGAGTCTACAGAGGATGGCTTATACTCAGAAAGACAGGAGAAAGGAAGGGCTAAGTGTACAGGCTCTCACGCTGGTTTTCCTGGTTTCAAATTCTGCCTCTTAAGGCTATTAGCTGGGTAGAATTGATCAAATTACCTAGCTTCTCTGTGTCACACTTTGCTCTTCTATAAAGTGTAGATAATTGTACCTATCACAGAGTTTGCTGAAAAATTAAATTAGTTAATGCACAGAAAGTACTCAGAATAGTGTCTAGCATATGATAAATACTCAAAGAATGTTGTTTATTACTATTTTCTTAAAGTATTCATTTTAATCTCTTTTTCTTTTACATGGTGAAAACCTCTCCTTCAGATATAGTCACATACAACATAACGATGTTTTGGTCAATGAAGGACCACATATGTGACAATGGTCCCACAGATTAGATTAGCACCATGTAGGCTAGGTGTGTAGGAGGCTATACCATCTAGGTTTGTGCAAGTAATGTAAAGGAGGAAGAAATTTTCCTCTGCTCTTCTAGGTTCTTCTGGCTGGTCAAAGAATTAAATTGACATAAGACAGATTAGCAAGAGAAAAACAAACCAAAGTTAAATAACATGTGTATGTGGGAGAAACCCAGGAAAACTGAGTAACTTGCCAAAATGGCTGAAGCCACACCTTAAATACAATCCTCAGCTACAGACAAGAGAAAGTGTTGGGGATGGGAGAGTCAGGGACTTCGAAAGGAAGGAAGGAAGGTAATTCACAGGTAGGTGAAAAGGAGCAAACGTTTGGCAAACAAGTGTTTGTTTGGCCACAGAAACAGAAGAACACAGAAAGGGGTCCAACAAACAGCCTTTTCTAGGTTTCTGCCTGTCTACCACCTAGTGCACCTTATGCCAAGATGATAGCGCACTCCCTGAGACAGATTTCTTTAATCTGAATTCTTTTAGGCAGTTAAGGGGAAGTAACATGAAAAACTTTGTCTTTGGGCTGGCCCGGTGGTGCAGCGGGCAAGTGTGCATGTTCCGTGTCAGCAGCCAGGGGTCGGCTGGTTCGGATCCCATGTGTGGACATGGCACTGCTTGGCACACCATGCTGTGTAGGCGTCCCACATATAAAAGTAGAGGAAGAGGGGCAGGGATGTTAGCTCAGGGCCAGGCTTCCTCAGCAAAAAGAGGAGGATTCGCAGCAGTTAGCTCAGGGCTAATCTTCCTCCAAAAAAAAAAAAAGAAAAGAAAAACTTTGTCTTTATTTCTTACAAGTAATCAACCTAAAATAACCCTCATGTTAAAGAGACAATTTGGGGTGGCAAATTTTGTTCCCCTTCAGTATACTCTATTATGTTCATACAAGGACAAAATCATGTAATGATGCATTTCTCAGAACGTATCCCCTTTGTGAAGTAACACGTGACTGTAGAGTCTCACCTGGAAGCCCAAAATGGAAACTGGAAAATAGCAGAGCTGCTTTGGGACTTAGGATGAGAGTCCTGGATTTCACTCACTTAGTCTCAGCTCTCCTTCTGAGACATCTCCAATGGATGATAATAGTTAGAATTTATTGAACTTTTGCTCAGTACCAGGTTCTGTGCTCAGTCTACTTGCATTTTTTCATGTAAGCAGTACAATGGCCCTGTGGGGTAGGTAGTATTGTCTTCATATACAGATTTACGTATTTACAGATGATGAAACTGAGGCTTTGTGAGGGTCGGTAACTTGCCAGGGTCACATGGCTGGTAACTGTCAAAGTCAAGACTGGAGCCAGATCTGTCTGATGGTCCTGAACCAAATGTTCTTAACCATTATGCTGCTTATCCTCAGGGCTCAGGTGCGTGGTTTTAAAACCACTATTTTAGATGAATTTGGTCATTCTTGCATCTTGAAATGATGAAAAATTGGTTGTAATCCTGGATTTTACCCAGGAATCAATTTGGAGAACACTTACTTTTTATGTGAGTTTGGAAATTTCTGTAGTAACAAATTATGTAAGATGTGAATCCAAAGAAGCCGGATCCATTGGGATGAACATAAATATGGAAGCCAAACAAATACAATGCATGATTATAAAAGAGATCTAATTAACAAAGAAACAATGAAACATTCAGAAGAGTAAAATTTTATTGAATGCTATTTTCTTTGGGTCAGTGTTCAGCATCATAGAAATCATAGGAAGCTACTGGAAATTCTTAGTTGAGGAAATTTCTATTTCCCTGAAAGCCAGAGCCTCTGTGATATTTGATGCTGGGCAATGCCTACTCAGAGCACACGTTTTCATGACAGACCCCATGATAATTGTTTATGTCCTTTCTAGAGTGAATCCTTCAGCAGGACTGAGCTCTGTTATTCCCAGGTGCTGCCGTCTTGTATTCTCTTTCTCATTGACATCTGGAAACTTGTCAGAGGGAAGGCATGGGTTTGTTTTTTTTTTCCTTTATACCTTCTCCCCATTGCTACTTAGATGGCAAGAAAGAAACTTCCAGATTTCATACATCTTAAAGATCACAAAGTCTATGACCATCTCTCATCCCTCTGACCCAGTCCTAAAGGGATAATTGGAAGAAATTGTTACAGGACCATGGACAGAGTCAAACAAGATGTTCATCTTGATAGGAGCAAAGATCTTTGATCAAGAGACACAGATTACTTGAGACAGCCAGTGAAATCAATACCATGATCTTACTCCCCTGCTCCTTTTGAGCAACTGCTGGGGGCTACCGATTAGGTAAATCCAAGTGGAAGCCAGAGGGTACTAAAAGCTGTTCACGTATCCCCTACAAGTCACCCTCTGAAGGCAGAGATGAAGAAGGAGATGAGTTGAGAGTAGACTAGATGAAGAAATGGAGGCTATCTAGTGTGGATGTCAGTGTACACACACATGCACACACTCAATGAAAATCGACTGCATGCTAGTCATTAGTGTAAAATTCACTCCTTGGCTGCAATAAAGGAATTTTTTATTATGGGTGGAGTGGCCTTTGTGAAAAAATTTCTTTTGTTAGCAGTTTAGACTTATTGAAATTAATTATAAATCTAAATCAGCCAGGCAGAAAAATGGAAAAGTAAGCCAATTTACTTTTCAAAGTTTGCAAACAATTGCATCAAATGAAATTGCACAGCAAAAAACCCAGTAGTCTCCCAGGGAGACAATATTTGCAGTAACTTAATTAGATCTGGCAGTCATAGGGACTGAGGTACTGGAGAAAATGATCAGAAATATAATATTCCTCTAGTCTTTCAGCATAGATGCTTTTCAGAGCAACTCACACCTTTTGCATAGGTTGGGTACATTTGTATTCCACGTTAACTTTAGTGATCTACAATGGATCTAGCTGTGTAGTGAACCACTGAATTCTTATTATGAGGAGTAGTCCAGCTAATTTAAATGCACTTCCAGGGGAATTCAAGCACATACTCCCTAAGGCTAGGAAAATCGTACTCCTTTCTGGATATCACGAGTACATAGCTTTAGGTTTGCACTGGAGTAGATTTTCAAGGTTTTTGCTAATGGGGCCTAAAGTTTCAGAAGTTACACAGTTACAGTGAATTTGACTTCACTGCCCCTGAAGCCTTTAACATTTTCAGGTTTTGAAAATGGTTATTAAAAGCTGTACAACTTTTAATCCAACTTGTCAAGTGGATTATGAGAGAAGTGAAATAGCTGGCACTGCCCCTGTGTAAGAGAGTGTTGGGAATGACTTGGAGGGCTTGTTTGTTTGGCGTGCTTCCCTGAAACCACACCCTGGCCCTGGGCAGCTCTTGGAGGGAGACTGCTCCAAGGAGAAAAAGGACTTTCAGCTCTGCCCCCTAGTTCAGACTCCCAGCTCCCAGACAGTGTGGACATTTTGCCTGGCTCCAACCCCTGAAGGACATAACTGCTCATTGAAACCAACAGCATGATATCTGGTCAGAAACAGAAAAGGAATCCTTTGACCCCAGAGGACCTGATCTATCAGAGAATGTCAAACAGGAAGAAGCTGGTATTTTTCACAATAGCACCACTACTTCCCAATACCAATTTTCTTAGTCCATTTAGGCTGTTATAACAAAATACTGCAGACTGGGTAGCTTAGAAATGAAACGGTGAAAAACAGCTATGAGAAAAATTTATTTCTCACAGTCTGGAGGCTGGAAGTATGAAATCAGACACGTATTAAGTCATTATTTTGGAGGATTTCAGTTGTTTATATCTAAATAAATTCTTGACTTTGCATCAGTCTCTTAAGATCTCTTATCCTTAAGAGAGTAAGATCATTCTTCAAGTGATTGTGTGATTTAAAAAATGACATAAGGGTAATCATGTACCCAACATGGTCACTTCTCCTAACTGTACAAAATATTTTATTGATAAATATCAATGTAATTGACAATTCCTATTGAAGATTTTTATTTTTGGTGTTGAAGACTGTCTCAACTTCTCTCAATTGATAAAAGATGACTACAGTAGAGTCTTTGCACAGGCATATTTTCGAAATTCCATTAATATGTACCCCTTTATTAATTAATGAGATGGTAATAGATATAAATGTAGAATTTACCAAAACAAAGTTAGAAATATCCAAGAAACCAGTTGGATCCTTGATAAGGAAGTGAGTAGAGGCATAATCTTTATGCCTATGGAGATTGAGAGAGAAAATCTAAAATAAAATCTAATATTAGTCATGGATCTGAGAGTTACTCTTTTGGGTGTTCATGTGTCATGCCCCTGGCCATTGTGGGCATAATAAAGTGAGGGCCTTACACTAGTTGGGCGACAGAGGTTTTTGAGTGCTATGATTTCAATCAATCAGATATAACAGTACATAATTTAATCATGCCATTTCACTGAGCTGTGCTAATAACAAAAGCACCATTTCCCAAACAATAAATTAAGAATGAAATAAATGATTAGAATATTTTGATCATTAGTATACTTCAAATTTCTCCAACCTTTACTTACATTATTGTTTACTAATTAACAAATAAGGAGTAGCACATGTATGCTGTCCCTGCCAGGGATGTTTTCATTGTGTGCAGCCAGGATATACTGTTCACTCAGCTTCACCATCCGGCTGCTAAGAAGAGCAGGGAACCTGGGGAGAGGAAGGAGTCTCTTTGACTTTAAGTATAGTTTATACCTTTCATTTTGCCTTCTAGCTCCAAACATGAGTGTGTTCCACAGTTGGATATGCTTTTTCTACAGAGTGAATATGTTGTGACCTACATCCCAGGCCTCATGCCATCTTTCCTCCCCCATTGTCTACTGAAGCTGTAACGTAAGGCTGCCATTTGGGTATTGCCCAGTAGAAACTCAGGGATAGCGCTCTGGTATTTATTGGTATTCTGGTAACAGACGCCTAATGGAAATAGAAAGTTTGAATGATAGTATTATTCTGTTCCTTTAAATGGTTTCAGTTGTTCACATCTTCAGTCTTTTAATATAAAGCAGGAGAACAAAAAAGAATAGAGAGAGAAAGAGGGAGAGAAAAGTGAAATAATTAGGAGAGAGAGAGCCAGTTTTATTCCACATGAGCAAGTAAACTTGGGAAATGTATGAAACTGAGCCTCACCATCCTCATCCAAAAAACAGAGGAAAAATACCTACCTCAGTGTGGTCGTTTAGAAAAATTGATATGATGTATGCACGATGGAAGCTCACAGTGGGTGCGCCATAATCATTCACTTCCTCTCTCTCTTGTGTGGAGGCCAAAGCTAACATGAGTGGACAACACTTAACCTCTTTGGTTTGGTTCCCTCAACACAGAGAGTGGATTCTAGGTGATCTCAAGTGACCCAGTGTTCAGATGTCTCACCAGGCAGTGTATAATCAGACTCGAGACTGTGGGGCTGCTTCTATTTTAGGCCTAGAATTTCTTTTCAAGCTTTACCATTTCTTGGTTTGCATGACTAATACAACCTCTGGGAATACAAATGATTAAAGCAAAATAAACAGAGTCATGGTGATAACCTATTTCATCAGCTACAGCAGGAATCGTGCGCACACGTGTGAAAGAGAAATTGAGGATAACTGGATATTTAGAGAGGCTTCTGAGTTTTCATCGAGTTCTCATGTTTCTTCATGAATGTACACGTATTTAATTGCAGTCTTGTCTGCTCTGCATTTTAATCTTTTTGTTTCTCAGAGCTTGGCTAATCTTTGTGTATCATTTTCTGCTTCCACATGTTTGAGAGTCACTTCACGAAGCTCTGGGAATGCACATTCTTTAATCTTCCTCTCAGTTTATAGTATGTCAAGACAGAGCTTGGATAAAAGTAGTGTGGGGGCCTGGAATTGGCCACCCCAAGATATGTCTCTTAGGCATGAGGATTATTTGGGGCTGGTTACTTTTAATAAACTGAGACAGGGAAGGAGGTTCTGAGGAGTGGAACTTGCTTGCCCTTTTTTGGGAGATATTTACATTTGTAAGGGAAATCTCCATCTGTAAAGTTGTCTCCCTCTCTATACCAGGAAGAACAGGGATGACCTTGTCTCTAGAAACTCCTATCAATACAGAATGCAAGGACTTAAATCTGCATAATAATCTTATTCCTGTTTATTGTGCTTGTCTGGTAACCTCCTGTAACTGACTCCCTCCACCCCCAACATCCTCCTTTGTCATTAGCTGAAGATGATATTTAAGGTGGGGGCTTCAGCCATTTTGATGAGTTGCTCAGCTTGCCTGAGCCTCTCCCATGTATACATGTTATAAAGCTTTGTTTAATTTTCTCCTGCTATTCTGTCTCATGTGAATTTAATTGGTTCTCTGGCCAGAAGAACCCAGAGAGGGTAGAGGAAATGTCTTCCTCCCCTACAGTAGCTAAAATTGAATTTTATTCATTCATTCATTCAGGCTAGTTAGCATTTCATTGCCTAATTTGCTTTGCCATCAGGCATGCTATTGACTATATACTATTATGGGCAGAAGTTTCTTTAAACTGTCAATTTTTTATAAATTGAATTAATTAAATTTATTTCTCTTTACTAAAAATGACCGTGTTTTGCCTGTTGGTCACCTGTTAAGACACTCTTTTTTAAATATTTATTTATAAGAAAGTTGTATTAATGATCAGAATTTTCATGATACAGAATAATTTTGTGTACAAGTTTATAAATTAGTCAACCATATATACTCTAAACTGAAGTATTTTTTTATCATTGAGGATAGAAATATAGCAAATTGAAGAATATTTTTGAAAATAAGGAAAAAGCTTCCATAATTTTGCTCTCCTAATGAAATTCTCACTTTCACAGGTGAAAGCTAGTTTTCAATCCCCATGTAAATACATTTTAAATAGTTGTAATCATTATGTCTACAGCATTTCTGACTTTGAAATTTTCTTATACTTTCTCCTGTGTCTTGAGAGACTTCATAATTATGAATGATTGTGTTATATTACACATGGTTGATTTAGCACATCAACCTTCTTTTTTATTGGACGTTTATGTGGCTTTCTATTTGCCTTCCTTCTTTCCTTCCATCTTTTTATTTATTTTTTTTTTACAGTTTATACTTTTAGAAGTAATTGGTAAATGAAATACTTGTACTTTTGTTAAATGCTTCTGTTATTTTATTCCCATAAGCTTTAATCTATTCAGAGTGCTTTAACAGAATACCGTAGACTGGCTCGTTTATAAACAACAGAAATTTATTTCTCACAGTTCTGGGAAGTCCAAGATTAAGGCACTGGCAGATTCGTGTCTGCTGAGAGCCTGCTTCTTGGTTCCTAGCCAGCTGTCTTGTTTCTGTGTCCTCAGTGGCAGCAGGTAGTGAGAGCTCTCTGGGGCCTCTGCTGTAAGGGCAGTAATCCCATTCATGAGGGCTACAGCCTCATCACCTAATCACCTCCAACAGCCCCACCTCCTCATATCATCACACTGGAGCTTGGATTTCAACATATGAATTAAGGGGAGGACAAAAACATTCAGTCTATAGCACCATATGAAGAAATCTTAGGAGTAGATTATAGCATCAAATAGTTTGAATGCCTACATGGTTCTTTCTGTGTTTTGCCATATTTTTCTCTAAATTAAGAATAGTGATTTTGAGGGACTGGCCCTGTGGCGTAGTGATTAAGTTCATGCACTCTGCTTTGGTGGCCTGGAGTTCATGGGTTCAGATCCCAGGTGAGGACCTATACAATGCTCTTCAAGCTGTGTTGTCGTGGTGACCCACATACAAATTAAAGGAAGACTGGCACAGATGTTAGCTCAGGGACAATCTTCCTCACCAAAAAAAAAAAAAAGAATAGTGATTTTGAAACATTTTTGAGTTTGGGAGACCAATGAATATAGGAAAATAGTCTTCATTTCATATATAATGTATGAATCTGGTTCACATGTCAGTATATGAGAATGTCATAAAATGCTGATCTTTGTAGCTGAATGTTATCACAATTTTCATTTGTGTTGTTAATTTTATTATTTTGTTGTTAATTTTAACAGTGAAAAAAAGAGATTTAAGTTCTGGAGGTGATGAAAATAATAAGAATTTTTCACATATTGAGATATATGAGGACGCTGGTCTGTTTTAAACCTGATTCAGCCTAAAACTTGTCTTTTGCAGAGCAGCCTGACTTATAGTGCACCAAATGTGCACTGTACATCTGCTTCAAACACGTTCTCAAGGCAAGGAATGCACTCTTTAAAGATAAGGATGGATGTCTCCCTTCCTCTGATGCCAGCACCAGTACTTCTTTGAAGGTAAGTTTTTCTTCCCAGAAAACCAGGGTGAAATTGACATGCTGTGTATGTGCTCAACTGCAGCAAAACATCTCCTTGTGATTTTGAAAAAAATTGTATTTTTGTCATGCTTGATGTATGTTGCTTGTTCTGAAACTGTGTGTAACCTGCCGTAAACCATGCTTCTCGGAGTGCTTTCTTCCCTGGTGGAGATTGCACTTCCAGGCTAGTCCTCAGCTCCGATAAATCTCAGCTTATCTTTCTAATCTGTAGATTAGCTATTGATTATTTGCACTAACAGAGACGTTTGCAGGAGTTATGCAACATCTTTGTAGACTGATTCTCAAATTTGGGAACAAAAATTGCCCTTGTCTAAAAGGATGTTCTTTCCATACATTACTACAGATTATATTATCTCTTTTTCCAAAGGTTTTAAATTTTATTTTTATAAATTTAGATACAGTAAAATTGATCCTTTTTGAATGCACAGTAATAGAAATTTCAACACATGTATAGATTCGTCTAAGTACCTCCACTATCAGGATACAGAAAAATGCCATCGCCTCCCAAAATTTCCTCGTGCTATGCCTTTTTATTTACACTCTCCTCTCAACTTGAATTCCTGATGGTCACTGAGGTGTTCTGTGGCACTGTTGTTTTATTAGTTCAACAATACTGTACAAATGGAATCGTCTAGTATGTAACCTTTGAGACCAGCTTCTCTTACTGTGCATTAGACTTCCTGCTTTTTCCCTCTCCTTTTCATTTGTCTGTTTCCTTCCTTCCTTCCCTTCTCTCTCTCTCTCCCCCTTTCTTTTATTTTGAACATCTTTAATATTACTTTAATTTGTCATTAGTATATTTTACATATATTTCTATATAGTTTTTTAAGAGCAAGTCTGCTGGAAACAAATTCTTATTTTCTTTCATTTAGGAATGTTTTTATTTCATCTTCATTCTTGGTGGACATTTTCACTGGCTGTGGAATGCTGGGTTGACAGTTCTTGGCTTTTAGTGCTTTAAAAATATTGTTCCACATCCTTCTGGCCTCAGTGGTTTCTGCTGAGAAGTTCTCAGGCTTTTAAATAGGTATTCTCCTATAAGTAGGGCTTCTTGACATTAGCATTATTGATATTTGGGGCCAAAATAGTCTTTGTTGTGGGGCTGTCCTGTGCATGGCAGGAAGTTTAGCAGCCTCCCTGGCCTCTATCCACTAGATGTCAGCAGTACCTCTCTCCCTGGTGTGATTATCCAAACTGACTCTAAACTTGGCCAAGTGTCCCCTGGGTATGTGGGAGGACAAAATCACCCCTGTTGAGAATCACTGCTCTCTGAGGAATGTGTCATTTAACTCTGGTTACATTAAAACATTTTTTCTCTCCTTTTAGTTTTTAGCAGTTTGATTGTTATGTGTCTGGGTATAGATTTTTTGTTTTTTTCCTATTTGGAGTTACTGAGCTTCTTTTTTCTTTTCTTGTCTACTGCCAGATTTGGGCAGTTTTCACAAATTATTTTTTTAAATATATTCTCTTGCACTACACACTCTCTTCTCTCCTTCTGGGAGTCTAATAACATGGATGCGAAACCTTTTATTTTCTCACAGGTTCCTGGGTCTTATTTTTTTCACTCCCTTTTTTCTTCCTGGTGTTCAGATCTCATAAATTCTGTTCATCTATCTTCAAGCTCACTGACTATTTACTCTGTAATCTCTGTTCTACTATTGTGGGCATTGAGTGAGTTTTTTATTTCAATTATTGGATTTACTATTCTAAAATTTCCACTTGGTTCTTGTATTATACATTTATTGCTGATATTTTGCATTTATTTCAAGAGTTTTTATCTTTAATTCTTAGAGCATTTTTATAAATCTAAGGTCTTTTCTGATAATTTTAATATTGATGTCATCTAGACATTGGTGTCTATTCATTGTCTTTTCTATGTGAGATGCCATTTTCTTGGCTCTTAGTATGGCAAGAGATTTTGCATTGTATCTTGGACATTTTAATTATGATATGGAACTTGGTTTTTTGTTTATATCCCAGGAACAATATCGATATTTTTGTTTTAGCAGATAATTGACCCAATTGGCTTCAGTCTGCAAGTTCTAACCAGCTTTCTGTGAGTTTTGGTGTCAAAGTCAATTCTATTTCCAAGGCCTTTATAATGTTGTTCTGATCTGTCCCATGGGTGTGCTGCCCAATAGCTAATTGGAACCTTGGCAGTGATATCTTCTGTCATTAATTCTTAATGTCTTTGGCATGCTGTTCAGTGTTAGATCTATGCATGCACACCTCACAACTTTACAAGGTTGCTTCCCCTAGCTCCTCCCTCTCAGTGATCTCTCCAGTCCTTTCTGGTTCTCTCTCAGGCTTCCCTTTTCTGTCTTCTGATCAGAAATCTGGGCTTTATTTCCCTTACGCAAGCTATATGCTTCCCATGACTATGGCCTCATTCAGAGCCAAACAGCAGAAAGAGAGAGAGAGAGAAAAAGGAAATGAGGACTTGTCCCCCATTGTTGGGACCTCTAATTACAGAGGAAGTTTCCTCAAAGATTTAGTCCTGTGGGCCTCATTGTCACCACTGTTGCTGCTGGATTGCCTGGGGCTTGGACATTAGAGGATGAGAAAAGAAAGAAACAAACAAACAAACAAGGGACCTCCCCCTGGAGCATTAGGGTACTCACGTACAGCTCCTTGAGTCAGGGCCAAAGAGTTTCTTGTGGAGCTCTCACTATCCCCATCATTGCCCGCTTCCACGTTTAGGGCTAGGCCAGGTTCGGGATATACTAAAGGGAAGAAAACGGTGAACTCACTCATGGTTCAGTGGTGCCTCAAATACTGATCTTCTTCCTCAATCTGCCTGCTGCTCTTTCCTTTTCAGAGGCCTCGACTAGCTGCTCCATGCGTTCTGTGCATATTTGATAATTGCAATCAATGTGAGAGATAGGGTGGGGTGTGTTTACCCCATATTGCTTGGAACAGGAGCAGATGTTATCTTGGTAATTTTGATGTAAGTAATCTTTCTGACAGAGGTTTTTAGAGTAGACTGATTAACTGAATGTACACCTGTCAGATAAATTGCAGTCCCCTCCAGAGAATGAAGCCCTTGGTGGTGCTGTTCTTTATCCGCATTGTAGTGATTCCAGAATACTTAGAGCTGGAGTAGCATTTCTTATAGAGATGTTTAAGACAACAAATCAACATAATCTCCTTTATTTACCTTAGTGCCTCGTTAATACTTTACTAATCTTTGTCTACATATAAATGGCAAACGGATCTCATCTCATGTTCTACTCAGCTCACCTAGCTGTGGCTGCCTGGAATGTGGGTCTGAGAACAGAGAGGACCCATGATGCTGAGCAGGAAGGTGTGCTGGGGTTGAGAAACTTGTTGCATCTTCCATGGTAAGAGTCATGGCGTATGCATTCCACATTTCTGCCTTCATGGGTCTATGCCACTTCATGGTAGTCAATATATATAAGCTGGGAAGCAGTAATAATAATGATTAATGAGCCATTGGTGCTTTGCAATCCCACTGAAGATGAAGCTGTGCTTGGTCAGAGGGAAGCGTGTCGTGGCAGTGATCGCCGATAGCTCCTTTGTTGTGCAAAAGTGTTGATAACTATCTCTGCCATTCTTCGAGCTGTAACTCAAATGCCGTCTTCCCAGCTTAAGTTGAAATGAACATTAACATTAATGTCTAAATTTTACTAGTTCTTAGCTCTAACTTGACTCATTCTAAGACAGTATTTTCAATGTGGATTGTAAAGCCAGGTGGGAGTATTTAGGAAATCTGTGGGAGTCTATATGGTTACCCAAATGATTGGCGGTGCCACTGGCATTGTGTAAGTAGGGTTTAGGAATTCTAGAAAGTCTGCCACATGAAAGGAAGACCTGGACAAAAAAGAGTATTCTGTACTCAGCAGGACTCTAATATCCAATGAAAGACTATGTATAGACACCCTTAGATTGGAGCAAGAGGTATGTGCCAGACACTTGTGAGTAACCGTCCTCGGACGCTAGGGGAATGTTTTCCTGTATCATTTGCCTTATGTCCTTGGAATAAGATAATAGCTTTCATGCTGTGAAGATACACAGCTTGTGCCACTGCTGACGTTCAGAACACATTGTTTTGGAGGGCAAAGATGATTTGAGAGCCAGAAGTGCTTGCTTAAGAGAAAAGACAAATTAATTAACCTGTCAAATTATTTCTCTAAGATAGCATGAATGCAAACAATTCTTGCATACCTAAGTGCGCTTTCATGGTAGTGCTGGGTACCCATTTTTTCCCTTCTCTTTGTGTTCCAATTTATGATGACTCACACCTCTGTGAACACTAGCACAGTATTTACAACATTGTACATGGAAACTAAGGAATATTTTACAATATTAAACAGTTCGTACGACTCAAATTTGCATGTATATAGAAACAAAGCGAAGGCAGTGACATATATCTATTCTTTACATTGGCAACAAGACAATGAACGCTAGAAATCTGAATGGTTTTATTTTTTAAAAAGGGCTTTAATAAGACTTACTTTAAATTAAAAAAATAAAAATTTCACCTTTACTCAGATAATTGTTTAAAATTTTGGTGTTATTAATTATTTTTGATGTATTATTTCAATGTTAATAGTTTGAATATTTTAGGAAAAAGAGCTTTATATTCTATTTAGTCTTCCTTCTTCATAAGGATTTTCTACTAAATTACTGGCTTTTCAAGTAAATTCTTATAAAAACTCTTCATTATTGTTACATACCGAAGTATTAAAAATTTGTATTTGTGGTGGGACCTCCCAGAGAAACACAACAGACCAATGTGCTTGCTATGGTAACGTACCTTCAGGACTTTTCTGCTAGTTCCCCGTCTTCCATGTCAAATCAGGTCACCACCGCAAAGCCTCGCTAACAAGGAAATTCTGGGGCTGCCAATAGACCCTGAACTATTTCAGGCCACTGTGGCTGCTTCCCAAAGTGGCAAATTATTAAGAATATTCTAATTTGAAAAAGCCAGTAAGAAAG